GAAAAAATATTTAATGCCTAATTCTTATCATTGCTTCCGTGCTTTAATATGGTGTGGAAATAAAAAAATGAAGAAATATGATATGACGATTTAGAAAAAGTTGTGAAAATTCGCAATTTGATCCATATGAAAGTATGAAGCTAAGTTTGTTTTTCGCTCCTCCAATTTTTTTTTTTTTCAAAAAGTTGATAAAAATATTTTTTTCGTAATCAAAGAGACGTTTTCATGAGAAAAATTCTTTGAATAATTAATTCAGAGAATTTTAGCATTTTTCAAGGTAACTGAATTTAAATTAAATATTTTCTGATTCGATATTCCCTAAAAATTCAAGATAGATCTTAAGCATCGATTGAGATCAATTCTTCTTCTTCTTCTAACAGCTCCCACCATTACTGGTTAGGCTGGCTCCAACGGCTACAAGGGTAAGATGCTTCCAAGCGGTGCGGTCTGATGCCATCGTCGATTGAGATTAATTGTGTAATTAAATTATGTTATTTAAAAATTTTTAGAATTAAAGCCATAGAAAATAGACTTTTCGCCGAAATAAAAGCAAATTCTCTTAACCGATCATTGATCATTGTGGCATAGTTACAACATCATTTTGGTTACATCAGTTATTTAGTGGTTCGGATGGCCATCATAAAATCTACGCTAGAATCAAATAACCATTCAAATAAAACATTAATAGTATCAGAAAAAAAACTATTTTTTTTAGCTATTGCTCCTCTCTAATTATTAGCCCCGAATTTGCTATCTGTCTTGCTTCAACAAAGTTCAGGATTTCCAAAGGATTAAATGACCATGAAGCTACAGTATTCTTTTTTATTTTTATATTGTTGTTTGTAGGATTAGCTAATAGTTCTTTTGCACCGTAAGGTTCGGCTTGCCATACCATAGGAGCCATTCTGACTTTATTGAATTTAGGATATATTCAGCTTTTGCTCCAAGTCGGTCTGACTGGATGGCTGCCGATGAATTTGGCATCATTTTCTTTTTTTCGCCCACCATTTTTGACCTGGCTTATTCTATTAGCTTGTTGTACCAGATCAATTTTGCAAGAGAATCACTTGAAGATAGATGAGTTGCTCCACCACCATTCGGATTTCTTGAAAGAAAAGGCTATTCCTTGCCAGGAGTGGAACCTCAGCACCAACGCTCCAAAATGAAAAATATTGACTATTCATTGAGCCTGAGTCATCCCCATCTTTTATGTAATTATATTGACTTTTTCTTCCACAGTCAGTAAATAAAGCTACAAGTTAAAAGATTTGCTCTTGTATCAGTCGAGTTAACCTTAACAATTCCTATCAGCAACTTATAATTTAAATACCAGAGTAATAATTTAAAATTTGAGCAGTATCATAAAAACGCCTCTTCAGTAACAAAATCACGATCTCAACGACTATTTTTTAAGGATTCTTGTGGTCCTTATGAAATGAGGTCTTTTTGTTAATTTTTGAATCATCGTAATCCATTCAACAACATCATTCGTCAAACTGGACAAATTAAGTTTCCCCAACAGACTTAATATGCAAATAAAATATAAAGCGGGCATCTCAAAATAATTAAACAACATGTATTTAAATAAAATGCTTTAACATTATCCTATAAATATTTGTGAATGTGGCTCACATTTATAGCTAAATAGTATGTTTCTAGATGAATAGGCCCGCTGACAATTTTGTATTTTTATTCTAGTATTTGTTTCTGATCTCCCAAAATATTCATTTTCATAGGACCACCCAGCCTTTTATAATATGATCTATCATACTGAAAGAGAAAACTGCCTTCAAACCTGGTTGTAACCTCTTGGAATATCCTAAAAACTCTTCATAGTCTTTTAACACTCCTTCGAATCTCCTGCTGTTATTATTTTCACACTAGACAAATCTTTTATATTCTCTTTTGACGCTCTCGACCTTCCCATTCTCATTTGCACTGTACTCATTCACTCTCAGTCGTCGTTATCGTGCATCTGCAAATCTTATAATTTGTAGCTGTGGTGATGGCAAAAATGTACCAAAAGCACTGACATCGAGTTGCGATACACAAAGGGAGTTAATGATGAGTAAAAGCTTGTCTCAGGATGGGGATGAAGGGGAAGCGAAGAGCAGAAAAATGGCGTTATGAATCATAACAAATGATCACTCAAATCCATGAATTGTTCAGCGAGCCTTGATTACATTAAGAGTATATCTCTGAAGGCTTTTCAAAAAATATTGCAGTTTTGGAGATATTGAAAAGCTTCAAAGAGTCGAGACTTTGTAGTTCAAAATTGCTAACGCTCCCTCTTCCTTATCACTTAAATGCCTTGGATCTAGAAGTCTAGTTAGCTTAAATATTTCTCACTTGTTTCTACTGAAAAACGTTCCTTTTTTCTGTTTTCTCTAAGATTCACAACTCATAAAATCCAAAAATGATTTAAAAAATAATTTAGTATGCGTCATTACGAACAATGAAGCTTGCAGCAGCACAATGAATAATATCGATAAGAATTTTTCAACGGCAGATATAAGAAGGTTAGCTCTTTGTATAAATTCAGCATTTTCGAGAAATCGTACAAGGTTTTTAAAATAAAAATGTTCTTGATGTCTCCAATATCTGTGACGTACAACTACTGCCTACGCTTTTAATCAAATTTTAAAAAAGACATCCTTCGAATACTTTTCGAATTTATGTGAACTAAAGGAAGCATAAAATTATCCAAAAATTCATGAAAATCAACTTATGGTTACTTCGAGTACTTCGAGATTAGAAAGACATGCTCATCTTCTTACAATAGTGAGTTAAACGATTCGGATGAACAAATTGATACTGATAGTGCACCAGCTGTATACTCACAGGCCGAAAGTAATGAATTTCAAAAAAAAAAAGGTTAGATGTGAAGGAACCATTTAAATAGTCAGAAAATAAGTCTTATGTCTTCACAATATTAAGTTTTAATTTATTTCAATTGAACTACCATAATCATTTCATGAATTATTATCATTATCAGTTCGTCTTGTTTCTCTTTTTCTTTTACATATTCCTTACTTGCTTCTGCTATAATATATATTATGCAAAAAATTAAGCTAATTAAATAATTTTACTCATAATATGCGCTATATTTCTATATAATACATAGGTGCATTTAAATTAATCTATTTTTTATGCTATATTTCTTGATTTCACATTTTTCCCGAACTAATAAACTAATAAGCCTTGAGGAGAATAGAATGAAAGTTTTTAAATCATATTTATTCTATTAGCGAAATTAATGTTGAATGAATTTTTGAATCGATGAAAAATATTTGTATACTAGAAATTACTATCAAAATTGTTAAAAATTTTATAAAGAAATGAACTGAATAGTAGAAATATTATGATGAATAACAGCTGATAACAAATGGACCAATGGACTCGTATTTCATGTAATGCAACAAATGCGTTTCATGTCAAGAATCAGTTATATTAAATCAAATCTGGCATTTTCATATAAACAATATCAGTTTACCTACCAGGTGTCGCCTTATTTTATGAATAACTTATAAAATCCAGTAAACAAATATTAGAAAATATTAGCGCCAAACAAATGATAACATCAATTTTGATGAAACTCTCTTGGGACTAAATTTATTAAAGTTAAGAAGTTAAGTAATTTATTTACTTAGAAAAATAAACGAACAGTACTAAGAAATGTCATATGTTTTTAATTATTACAAAAAAATAGCTATAAAAAAAATAATTAAAACAATTAAGATAAGCAATGAGTTGAAATTATTTCAAGATAATTTCGTATAATAACTTCATTCTTCTTTTCTCGAAATTATGAACAGTGCAAATCAATTTCTTGAGTGATTTGTTCCAATAATTTATTATACGAATGGAGAAATTTTAGCCAATTTTTTTTTTGAAGAGTTCTCACCATTACTGATTAAACTCGCTCCACTTGTTTGTCGCAATTGAGCAATATGCCGGGGAGTCTCTTGGCGATAGAAATACAGGTGAATCGCCAGCATCACCCGGATTTTTGTACAGCTTTACTCCTGCTGGGAATCGAACTTCAGCATCGGCGATCCCAATTGAGCAACAACCCACTGAGCTATTCTATTCCCAATTTTAGCCAATTAATTTAGTTTTAACGGTACAATTTATTTAAATGCAATGTTTTGAATTATATGAATCAGAATTGAACCTGAAATTGCAATGTTTACTATGTATAATATTTTTTGTATAGCAAATCTTTTATTCTTACTCATATTTTTAATGAAACCAGGTTATATAATTCATCTATAGAGGGAGAATCTTTTTCAATAATTTTTTGCTTATTGAACTTAGAATATTTGGGATAATAGCGAACAATGTTATTATTTAAATTTCTAAAAAATTTCAACAACGAATTTTTCGAATTTTTTTTTTAAATTCTTGTAAAGAATAGAGAATTTTTTGACCATTTGCTTATTAAGAAGCTGTATTATCCCTCCGGTGAAACCGAACATATGTCGAAGATTTCGCAACGAATCAATTAATTAGGAGATAGGTGACCTTCTTTTGCAGTGCCATACCCTTTAATAAATCTTCCTAATTTAATTATATGCGTGCAAATTAAATTGAATCAACTAAATTGTTATTCATCAGATAGCTAAAGAAAAGATTCAGTCTTAAAGGCAAGAAAATATGGAAATAGCTCGGATATTTTAATTTCTAATTGTTTCTAATTTCTAATTATCTAATTGTTGGATTTTGGTGATTTTTTTCAAAAAATTTACTGTTAGCCGAATTCTGCTAAAATTTTCCAAAGTCTTCACTTTTATGGTTAAGTCAAAGAAAGCTTACGAAAAAAAAGCTAAATAAAAAGAAGGGAATGCCGACGTGAATTATTGTTAGCAAGCAACCATCGCTACAACTTTTGTCAATCATTAATTTCTCTTATTTGCCTTCAATTTAATTTTGTGGCTTCTAATTTCGCATTTTAAGATTCTATAAAAATTCTTGTCAATACTGCTAAGATATCTTATCATATGCCATTTAGCGATATCTCAATCATTATAAACAATTCGAAGTGTATTTGCTCAGATCTTCAACATGCTGATTATTCTCCAGCTTATGCATGGTTAGTTGCTCTCCTATGGTACTTTCATCTAATCAGTATAATTATACTTTAAAAATACTTGTTATTTGAACTTTGTTCGATTTGATAACCTTTTAATCGTCTTTCTATTCATTGTCGGTCGTCAATAACATAAAGCGATAAAAAGCGCAAAATGAAGCCATTGCAAAAATCTCACAATATATCTTGAGTTCAAGCAGAAGGTTTGCATTCAATTACATTCGTAGGATACTAAAGAAAAAACGCATGTTGCCAAATTTTGTCATAATTTCGTTTTATTTGTTTAGTGTAACAATTATATTTGTTATTTTTATATAATAGTAATACTTCCTATAAAATACAAAAAAGTCTAAACGAAGTATGTGATCCGAGTATCACTTCATTATTAAAGATTTAAAAGATTTGTGGCTACGAGGAAATAATTCGGCCTTGGGGATTAGCCGATGGAATTTTCAGAAATTGGCTTGTTCAATTAGATTCACTCGTTTTTTTGAGGATTTTTTTCAATTTTGATGTTTTAATGTCTATTTTAAAAGGCACTCACCACTTTTGGTTGGGCTTGCATTATTGGCTTGTCTAAATATTTTTTTCGATGGCAACATAATGAACTGTCTTTCACTAAGATGATATGGTCCAGTTTTCTCTTGAAGAAAACTGCGCGAAGACCGAGTAAACTCTACGGATGGTATCAGTTATGGTCAAATTTAGTTGAATAAACAAATGATTATACCAATTATAATTTGAAAATTAAATGATCTTTCAGGTTTAACTATTTCTTAATAATTATTTTATTACCATCGATATCAGTATTTGGAGTGTTAGCTAATATATTGAACATATATGTATATTCCAGAAAACGGTTTGTTTCATGCATTAAAATCAAAGCCGATTGATTAATTTTTAAAAATATTTCGATCTCTTCAAATTGTTGATGAGCAATTTGAGGAAATTTATGGCTTTATCTTTAAATTATTTACCTAGCAACATATAGACCGATATATATTTATATATATATATTTGATATATTTATATTCATATATTTAATATATAATATCCAACATATATTTTTTCGCTTATTCGAAAATATTCTTACATTCATAGTTGGTTGTAAACTGCAACTAAAGCTGGAATGAAATTACGTTTAAAATACCTTTAGCACATCAACACGTCTTTCCAAATCCGAATTTGCCTTTAGAGATCGTTCACTAAATTGCTCTAGTTAACTAAACTATAATTTCAGGATGCAGACTTCAGCGAACAATTATCTGCTTTTTTTGGCTTGTAGTGATTTTCTAGTGATATTGACTGGCTTATTTATTTTCTGGCTTGATTCAGCGAGGTATTTTTGTCAGTATTCTTCTTCCTTAACTGAAAAAATGATTCAACTTGCTTTAATGAATTTTTTTAATTTGCATAATAGTTTAATTTCTTGAATAAAACCTCCTGTTTTATCTAGAAAAATTTTTATTTCTAGATCTTATATTCCATCACTAGCTCATGTGCCATATATGACAGTCTATGCTTTACCATTTGGGTATATGGCACAAACTTGTAGCATTTATTTTACAGTAGCAGCAGCCATCGACTGTTATGTACAAGTAAGATTACTGCATTCAGTCTATAAGGCGATAAGTACTTTATATTCTATGAACCATTCTTGATTTTCGCACAGTTTTTTCGTGTATCCCACTATTAATTCTCATCGAATCCGTGATATCCTAAAAATATCATTTTTCATTGATTTCAACAATAGGCTAATCAGAATTCATATTTTCTCAAAGTTGTACGCTTTTCAAATGTATTTAATTTCATTTTCATTTCGTTTTAAAATTTTCGTTTTAAACAGAGATTGAAAATGAAATTTTGGTAATTTTCAGGTATCCTGGGAAGAAATAAGGGATAATTATTGCACTGTAAAAAAAGCGATGGAGATCAACATATGCATTACATTGTGTTCTATTATATATAATTCTCTCAGGTTCCCACAATTCAATCTCAGAAAATGTTTTCATGATGCCACACAGGTAGATGTTTTAAAATAAAAATAATAATCTTATTCATTTAAGAAATAAAATACATCTTTTTTCTTACATAATACTATACGAATTTTATCTAAGAAATAAATTCCCACTCACTGTTTTGCATTGATTCGTCTAATAGTTGTTTTTCATCAATTATTCCAGCAAACTACTACTTTAATTTAATTAATTGAAATAAAATATACGAATGATTCTGGAGAAATACGAGAAATATTTATTTTTCAGTAGAAATAATGCAAAATTGTCTTCAAATCATGCTATACCCTTTGATCTCCCTCTAGTTCTTCTAACACTTCGAATCCTACTGTACTCACACTCGCTAAATACGCCTAATTTATGCAGAACACCGTCCAATTCTCGATAAATTGAGTCATCATAAGATTAATCTATGCAATTTCGTAATATAACAACTGCTAGTAACAAAACTTTAGGCTTAAGGGAAATTAAAGTGGCGAAAACGCGCTTAACACGATTTTAATAATGGATTATGGTGAAAAAAACATTAACGAGATCAATAGGGCGCTTAAGATGACTTGGTTTTCCACTAAAAATATTGCAAGACTAGAGCGGAATCTGATGGATTTAAGATATATGGGGATTCAAGGAGATATGACTATTCATTTTTGGCAACTGATATGGCATGGCATGGCAAAATAGCTTTAATAGATTTTAATAGCCAGATATTAGCAGTTGCTATAGGAAACAATAAAGAATTATAACAATGCCTAAGGAATGAGTTGGTATATATTCGCTATAATGCTACTAGTAAGCTATTATAAAGAAGTGCAGCCACGTTTAATGTTATCAAAAGACGATAGTAGAGTGAGTTCAGTAGATCGTGAATTTATTAGAAAGATGTATGGAATTTTGAAAAGGGACTATGAGGCTCTGAAATGATATTCTAATGTGTCAAAGCAGAAAATAATAATAGAGAGAGCTTTACATTGAAACGACGAAATTTCTGAAGAGAAGGTGGCACTAAGCGGTTCAAAAATTGTATTAGATTCATAGCCCAGTACAATTTAGCATATCGCCAATATATTTCCTATTAATTGAGGAAAGTTGTAGAAACAATAATGATAATTTCAAGTACCATCAGACTGCACTTTTTATCTTTTCTATTGTTCTTAAAAACGGAGCTAATATAATAATTTCCAGACTTTAAGATTCTATCTGCAGTACGAGTCTGTCTGTCTTTCAAAAGTCAAGGATTTAGGTGTCTTTGACATTTCATCATGTGTTGCTGTCGTCAAGCAACTTCCCTAATAAAATCTAATCTAATCTGATAAGCCAACAGAGCCAACCAGAAATGTTGAACCACTAGAAAAAGAAGGTTTTAGAGTCATTGCTAAAACATAACTTTTAATAGATAAATTTAGCCAAAGAGAGACTGCACAATTTTTTATCTATGTGATAAGCACATAACGGTAAATTAAGATGAGTAAACGTAGAAGTTAAGTGAGAACAATTAGATCTCTGATTATTTAATATATTTATAGGAATTGATAATTGAAATTTGCCCAACAGCGTTATTTTTTGCAATCAATACTATTTATAACGTATATATGTATATGATATTAATGACTTTATTACCATTTCTTTGCCTTTCGATTTTAAATGCAATGATTGTGGTTCGTAAATCAGTTAAACCAACAGATTTAGAACAAAAGTAAGTTTCTATATTTTATTTGATAAATTTTTATCTATTTGCTTAATATAGAAGAATAATATTTCAATAAAATTATTCTAATTATTTTTATTGTCTTTCTCTAGAAAATAATTATGCAAAACTGATAACGGATTTCATTACATTACAAGAAAATGATAACGGATTTAATCTTTGGTATTAGAATTATTCAATCGTCTTATAATCCACTAATTTCTAAATAACTCAAAATTAAAGTTTATTGCATAAATAATTCCACTTAAGCGATTCATCTGCCAACATTTCGGAAAATAACGTACTAACGACTTATGTCAACAATTCAAAATCACAAGGTCTCAGAAGTAAGTTTTATTCAGTTCATTTCTTCCAAATATTTTCGAATCAGAACAAGAATAACTCTGAGAATTCATATTCGAATTATTTCACGCATTGCTAAAAAATTCATTTAAAACTGAACCTTTATTTTAATTCGCTTAAATTATTCAGCCAGATTATCAGTTATTTTTAATCTCGAAATAAATGCTTAATGTGAAATGTAGAAAATTTCTGAGACTCGAAAATTTCAGGTCATAATAATGCTTTATTTTCAAATACTATTATAGAAGCATTACCAGAAGATTCGAATAAGGATAACGAGAATATAAGTGTAGAAAATGACGACGATACGTTAACAATGATTATGGTGGTCGTAATTTTTCTTTGTTGCAATACTTTGGTTTGCATTTCAACTCATAAATTATGATAAAATTTCGTATTCTAAAAAAATTTTTATCATTAAAATTATTATTAAATTATTATCTAAATTATTATAAATTATTTTTATTAAAATTATTATTTTCAAAAAATCTCTGAAAATATAACGTATTAAAATATAAAATATAATTTAAAAACATAATTTTATTTTATTAAACTAAGTTTATATGGAAGTCATTTTGACGATACAAGTACGGATTTTATCAGCTCGGTTTTTTGAAAGGCTTAATCGTTTATGTAAAATCCCATCATCGGCATTTCGGCATTCCGAGAACAACAACCATTTAAGCTACTCTTCCTCCATACGCAATGATTAGAAAATTTATTTGGCTTAAAGAAATATCATAATTTAATGATTTTATTATATTTCTTTTAAGGCATTAATTGTTAATTTGATTGAGACTTTCTTCAATCCAGATGCTTTATTATTGAATTTTCTCACGGATGGCAGTAATTTTTTGGTTATATTCAATTCGTCAGTGAATTGTCTCATTTACTTGATTTTTAACAAAATTTATCGACAAATCTTTTTGTATGCTTTTTTTTTCAAAAATTTTCTTATTAAATTAGATATTTTTTTTTTATATCAAAGCATTCGCCATTTCTTGATTAAGCTTGATTTGTTGAATTGTTCTGACCATCAACTTTGGCTAGGGAATCACTTGAAATACGATCGAAATATAGATGAGTGGTTAACATCATCATCTGGATTTTTCATTTTTGAAAGACAAAAGAATCCCAGCATCAGCGCTCTAAAATTATAATCCACGGATAATATAGCGAAAAAATTTTAAACTTTTAAATTTATTTTTTTCATTTAATAAAAATTTCCACTGCGAATGATATATGAACGAAAGATTTAATAAATCTTCGTTTTAATTTTTCATTTCATTAATTCATTGTATTTCTAATTATAGCGAAGCAATGGACGATATTAAAAGGCTCGTTCATAGGAAATATTTCCACTGTTGGAAAAATCGCGGTGAAGGATTACTGAATCAAAAACATCTGATTCTTATCAAGCCGATCAATAAAAATAGAAAAGGAAGAAGAGATCAATCGAAGAATATCGAAATAATTGAAAATAAACCAAGTAGTTCCAACCAAGTATTTTAGTCGTAGTAAATTGATTCTGTTATTTCTAATAGTAAGAAAAATGGCATAAATACCTTTCGGATAATCAGAATGTTAGAAGTTAGTATAGGCTTCCATAAAATTACTAATAGGCCGGTTTTCTTTCTTTTTTATGAACTCAATTTGTTACTGTCAATTCGTTTAATGAATGGAATTATTAGAAAAATCACTTTGAAATTATTAATTTAGGTTATGATTATGGAGGGAGGGAATTTTGAGGATTCGAAAGTGCCATTATTTGTTTTTGCTTTTTCTTCTAAAAAACATTCACCATTTCTGGTTTAGCCTTTCACAAGGGAATCACTTTGCGACACAAGTATGGATGGACTCTAATATCATCTGGACTTCATTTTTAGTGACAGACTTGTTCTCGCCAAAAAACCGGAGCAAGTGATACTCGAAATTAACTGAAGCAATACACCACCCGACCATCCTGCTCCCGACTACCAACTAGAAATACAAGTGCTATTCACCGCTTACCATTAAGATATCGCCATTTTTATCTTTGTCCTTAAATTTTTTTAAAGAGCCCTCACCATTACTGGTTAGACTCGCTCCGCTAGCTTAGTCGTACAAGACCAAGGAATCCCTTGGCGATAAAAGTACAGGTGACTCATAGGATTGCCTGGTTTTTTCGATAGGCTTATTCCTCTGGGAAGTAGAACCACAGCATCGGCGCTCCGAATTGAGCAATAACCCACTGAGCCATTTTATTTCTTGTCCTTTATTTATAGGCATTTCTTTCACATACATTTATGATGCCACTGGGGTCTTACAAAAAGATACAAAAGCACTTTCAAAGAATCACCATAATATAAAATTACTAAACTAAATGATTTACTGCTTTACAGTAATAATAAACGCGGTGGAATAATTATGTTTCAGTACATAACTTTGAGGTTAACCGAGAATTTTTTTCAGCATATCAAGTCAATAAACCTGTGTGGGAATTATTAGACCAGCATAACAGCGATATTCAAAGGCTTTGTAAGAGTAAGCTAACGACTAAAATAAGCAGTGGACTTACAGTTCTCAAAGGTAATTTGCTGTTGTGTTATTCATCAGCCTATGAAAAATTTATTATATCTAGCTTGTAGATGTAAATGCTTGATGCTTTTTTATACGTTTGATTTAATGTAAGCATCGAAATCAATTTTTTTTCTAGCGAGAAGATTATGAAATTCAAATAGATTTCTTCAGATGTGCCATTTGAGCCACAAAATTTACTTACGCACCAAACGAATTTCGAAGCCGAAACGCATAATAGTTGGGGTGAATCAAGCAGCAATAAGGTTTTTATTTTATTTTATGCTATCCCACCACAAATCAGATAATATTTATCGGTTAAAAAACCGAAATTTAGGAAAAAACCTTTATTTGTACGAAAATCGAAATAATATAGAACTTTTTCTTTTTGATACTTAGTCAGCTTCGTACTTTTGAATCAGAAGTACGCTTAGAGATATATTATCTTAGAGATATATTATCTTCTGTATTTTAGCAGTATTATTCGATTTGCCCTCATCGGTGGATTGCAGAAGTGAAAGTCGAACCTAGCACAAATTTTGGATCGTCTAGACCACATATCTACGTGAAACCCCTGCTGAGTTTGTCAAAACCAACATTTAATGTTACTACATTGTGAAAATAAGTTTTCTACACACCAATCAAATTCCGAGAAGGCCTAATGATGGCTTCTACAGCATTTAAATAATAATAAATATTGCCAAATATTTAAAATTTGGCTAACTTTGGCTATAACTTCTACGTAAAATTAGAATTTTCTTATCAATTCCTATTAGATTTTCTAGATTTTCCAATTTTTGCGTAAAATATTCCTTCTTATCTTATCTTATCTTCCTTCTTATCTTTTTACCGTCTGTCTTCAATAATTCTTCAATAATCACTGTTACTTGCAATATGTTCTCTAATTTTGCAATAATCCGAACGCATTCGTTATTTTGCCTTTGTCTCCTAACAAGGAATAAGTTAAAGCTCAAATTCTTGTATCAATATGATTATGACAATAAGCCATAAAGTTGGCAATTGTGCTCTAAATAAATTACATTACTCTGATTGAAAAAACGAAACGAAATCGATCGAAAAAATTCCCTTACATCATGAATTAAAAATTTAATTACTATTACCAAAAAAAAGAATGAACAGACAAGGAATGAATTAGCTATTTAGACAGGTTGTGAAGCCATAACCATCGGTAAACGAGTTTATGTTTGCTTTGCAATGTTAACAAATAGATGTCCAAAAAAAACCCAAACGTTGCTGCATAAAATACATTATTTCCCCTTGAAAATTCTTCTCTATGTCCCCCAAAGTACCACCTTGCAACATTCATTATCATTGTTATTCGATTTGTCCTCATACAATCCCGTCAAACCTTTCAAGCTGCACCAATTCTCGCTTTATTCTTTTACCATATCTTTTAGTTGCATTATTTTAAACTTCGTACCACCACTTTATCTCACTCACATTTGGTTACAATTGGTACCATCCACTTTCACTTTTTCCTTTAAATCTTTATGCATTTTTGCCATGGTATGAGTTACAAATTATAAAATTACGATGGATAACTTTGTGGAAGTGTTTTGTTATAAACCACTAATAGTTTGTAAGAACGCGTTGTTACCTTGAAATTTTTTCATACTCTATTATATCACTTCGTCCATGCCTTTTATTAATTTTGTTAATTCAAAACTTCGTTAAGGTTTCACAACATTTTTTAAGATCTCCTTTAACCCCCATAAATTTAATCCATTAAGAAAGCCTGCCTTTCTCTTCATCTAAAACTTACAACCTTATTTCTTGAAGCCCTGTTTCACTTTCCAGGCTCGCAAAAGCGCAATTTTAAAAATCTATCTTTGCAATATCCTCTTAGGATCCGCGAAAGCTCATTGTGTTGCGCTCTGTATTGCAAGAGATAGAGCGACCAAGGCAGCTGGGAATATCGAAAGAATGTTGCACGAATTTGAGGGTATTAAGGTTTACAGGAATATGAAGGATGGTATAAAACCGGCGCATAGGTTTTAAAGAGTATTGATAGTACAAATCCGGCGTTAGCAACAATTCAGCCGGCTTTTCACTTCTTACCTTTTGATCTCTAAAAGTTCCTCATAATATTGCTCCCAGCACATTGAAAATTCATTTACCCGCACATTGAAAAATTTTATTGCGAATTGCAGATTAAATTGCAAATTTAAAAGAATCTTGCTTCTTTATAGAAACATTGAACTTTTAAAAATATTCTTCCAAATGATGCACTATTATCAAGTTAAATTTACTTGGCTTTGACCCTTGACCCTTGAACTCAAATAACTTCATTTATTCAAAATTCTTCACTACTATGATCTAACCTAACACAATATTATATTATACAGGTGATGTTTGGCGACTCACCTGCATTTTTATCACCAAGAAATATTCTCCCTGGTATGTTTGTCCAATCCAGTGGAATGAAGTCAAATCAGCAATGGTGAGTGCCTTTTAAAAAAAGCAAATACTACACCAACATTATTTACACTATAAAATAACCTATGGCACTATAAATTTAAAATACATATTCCATTATCGAAACTATCAATTTCCGATGCCCTTAAACTTTTTACCTTTGGGGTTCCAATTAATTCTACTTTAGAAGGATCTACCTCGAGTATAATAAATGCCATTACTGTGAATATCCACTACACGATCTTATAGGATTACCTACAGCAATATAAAAAAATTGAATGACAAACTAAATTATTTCACTAAGAAGAAATATTATTTATTGATAACAGCTTCAAAAGGAATAAAGGAAAATTGATCAAATAATAAAAAATTATCCCATTTAAGAATTCTTCGAAAAAATAGATCGTAAAATTTTTGTTCTTAAAATGTTGGCTGGGATCCTAACTCCTTTATTGTTAGCAATAGCTTACTGATTTGATATTTTAACGAAATCGCTTTATTTTTACTTACTGTTTTAAGTTTCGGGTCCTTTCTCGATTTATTGAAATCGAAAATTTTCACCAAGTATGCAGCATGTGTACTTGCTACTTGCTGCAATGCTTACATGCATATATGCGGAAAAGGGAATAAATTCACTAAAAAAGTAATTCTCGAAATGAATATTTGTCTTAATCTGCCATGCGATCGAAATTTTTAAGCTTGACTTTAATCATTGATAAAGTGCAACAATAGCAGAAAAGAAACGAACACGTCAAACTACTAGAATGAAAATAATTCTTACGAATTGCATTAAATCGCGAAAACCCATATCAACTTATCAACCCATAGGCATACTCAACAGCTGATCGCCAATTGAACAGAATAAAGAACTAAATTGTGAAATTGCTAAAAATATTTTGATCCTGATTTTAGTTCATGTATTAAGGAAAACTTTTAATGATGAAACCGTAATATATAAACCAATTATAATTTTTTCTTTATGCGAAAAGTACTGTTGATTAAAGAGTCAATAATAAAGAAATATGAATATTCGATAAGGTACGGTTTAATGTTGTAAATAAACAAATAAAACCATTAACGACAAGATTCTAGCGAAAAATATTTTATTCGACATAATGTTTTTATGGAAAGTAACAAAATAAAGATCTTTTAATTATCGTCTCTAGGCTCATAAACAATATCGCGGCCGATTTCATCCGCGAATTCGCAAAACAACTGAGACACATCCAAAGATGGGAATCGAATTATTCTTTCTGGAGTTATATGAACCACTAAAATACTTTGAATTAGAAAAAAATACTTCGAATCTTCCTCCACTTCTAAACTTCTTTCGTAAGAATAAAAGTTAATAACCTATAATAGATTTAACTTTTCAGTAATTAACACAAAACTCCAATCGGCTTAAAAACGCAACTTAATATTTCTCAGTAGAAATTTAAACAGGCAAACCTTAGAATAAGAGACGAAAAATTTATGTAAGGACTTACTATTGCAAAATCCACCAGAGCCGCTATCACGATATGCCGCAAGTGTAATTGCTCGTCGAGCTAATTTTACAGCTTCGTCATCGCTCATTTTCTTCTTATAGAAATTATCGAGAACACCATATGCGCTGAAAAAGAAGAAAAAAGGGTTTCTATAAGAAGTCGGTTGAAATCGAAAAAAATGAAAAAACAAACTCCAGTGATCCCGATCCAACACTGCAAATATCTAGCTGTACCCGCTGACCTTCACTATTGACCATAAAAATTGCTGATCCCCTTTTATCATATCCAGCCACCATAGAACTCTAAAGGATAAATGGAAGTTGATTCAGTATTTTTCGTGGATACTTTTTTAACTTTTTTTGTCAATATCAAAACGAAGGGAAAATTGGAAACAAAAATTTCAGTGTGAAATTGCGATTATGAAAAAAACTAAAAAAATGTAAGAAAAAAGGATCACTGCAAAATGTATTCAAAATTGTACATACAAATTATATATATATATATAAACTTACGATCTGTAGATTATAACTACGATACGAATATAGCACGTTCGAGAAATATTTGCTAGCTGCGGCCACTGTGATTGCTGTTTTCTCACGCAGTTCATATAACCTTAAATTGACAAAACAGTGTCAGCAAATGGTTTTGATTAATCTTAAATTTATCATAGATCACATGAAATGCTAAATATTTTAAAAAACTAAATCGTAGTTAACGAAATAAAAGACGAGAAACAGAAAAAAAGAACAAACTTGCAATATTTGGCGACAATACGAGTCCAAAACTGGCAATCAGCCGCACTACCAGCCATTGTGGCAACTATTCTATCAGATACGTCAAGAATTTTCATGCAACTTTTTGACGCTGGAAAAAATCTTAAATTAATAATTCATACCTTTAAGTTGTATTATAATAGCTAATAGCAGATAATTAAAAAAAAATTTTTACATGTAAAAAAAAATTTTACATATATATTCTCCGGCACTTGCTCGAGAATCAGCGGCAACAATTATACCACCGACATCATTTGTTGTCAGCGGTTCATAAAGAAATGCTAATGTTGTTGTACCTTTGCGATACTGCATATGACCGGCATCAGAATCTTTTCCAAAATACATATTGATAAAATCCTTCGGCTAAAATAATGGAGCATGGAACTTCAATTAACAATTAATAGCATCAAAAATATTTACATATTAAAAATACCACACTAATGAAATAAAGAAATAATCACACTAATGAAATAAAGAAATAATATGAAATGAAATAACCACAGTACAGAATAAAGAATGTGGAAGAACATGTGGCGATCAATGTATAAGAAGTTATCAAAGCGTGAATTATCAGTAAGGAAACAGTACAGAAACAGTACAGAATATGGAAGGAGATAATATGGATGGAATAATGGTGTAAGACGGAAAAACAAAAAGAGAAGAAAGAAAAAAAGCAAATTTATGCTACCTTGCTGGCATCAACTCATGTTGTATCAAGTAATACAAAAGTACCAAAAAACTTCTTTAAATTATTTAAATGAAAATTAATATAATAAAAAGGTTTCTTAATATATTAATATACTAAAAAAAATATCAAAACGAAACGTAACTTTACAAACAAAACCAAAAAACTTACAGTTATGCCAAGCGGCGGTTGCATTAAACAATAATTTGAAAGATTCGGTTCATCAATATCTCGACTATCTTGCATAAATTCTTCATCATCACTAACATCACCAATCAGCATCTCTCTATAAAAAAAAAAATAAGAAATAGAACCTCATCGAACCAGCTCCCCCCCCCCCCCCCCCCCCCCCCCCCCCCCCCCCCCCCCCCCCCCCCCCCCCCCCCCCCCCCCCCCCCCCCCACTTTTTTATTCCCTTCCTCTCCACTCCTCTCCGAATTTTCTCAGCAAACTCAAAACATAAACTTAAAAATATAAGACAATCGTTTCGAGATCATTTCTGATGATTTCAAAAAATAACAGCACCATCGGACCGACGATTTTCACAACTATATTTAAACAATCTATTACGGATATTCCTTTCTACTCGAAACACCCAGTGATATCATCTTCGATACTCCACTGCTACCTTTCATATCCATTCAAACACCTTTAACAACTTAACTGGCATCTTTATGACCTTTTTCCAAAATCTTTCCAACCTTCTATTAAACACGCGTTTTTCTGCCAGAACGCCTCAGCAATATCTTTTCGAAATTCCCCCACAATATCCTTAAAATCCTCGCTATTTCGACTGTCCATTTTAATGAAAAAAAACATTTTGTACATTTTGTTATCCACTGAAATATTCCTTTCTAGCATATTTTATAAAAATTCTATACGAATTATTTTCATTATCCTCCATATCCTCAAAGATTCGCTGTACTTCCTCATATTTTAAATTCTCTCAGATCTTGCAAATCTTTAACCACCTTTCAACTTTCTATTCCCTAAAAACCCTGTAAAACTCGCATAATGAAATTCAAACTAACTTACGCCATTACCAGTTCAAAAAATTATTTTTTTACACTTTAATCATTTTTTTTTTCTAAAACGGCGTTCATTATTAATGGTTAAGCACGTTTCGCTGATTTGCCAGACTGACCATAAGAATTTTGCCAAAGAATCACTTGGCGATAGAAGTATAGACAGAAGTATAGTCATCAACATCACCAGGGCTTTTGGAGTATAATACTGTTGGAAGTGGAACTTCAGCATTGAACTAACGTTCCGAACTAAGCAACTATCCACCGAACCATTCTACTTGCCTTTCGCCTTTCGACGATGGTGTTCAGACCATATTTAAGGACTGGTGCATCAATGGCCTAGTACCAAGACGATTCCCACAAAGCATGGAAAATGGCTAGAATATGAGTAAAACCGACGAACCACGTTCAATTTGTTCAAAAATCCGGCTGGTGCTGGCGCCTCACCTATACTTCTATCGCTAAGGGACTTCCTGGTATTTGTCTTGTGGCGAGCAGCGAGTCTAACCGGTTATGAGTGAAGATAAATGGAGATTTTTTTAAAAAAATATAGGTAAAGGGCGAAAATAAAAGGATGTAGAATGGCTCAATGAATGAATTGTTTGCAGCCAAAATGCTATTCCAGGTAGTCCCTGGCAAAAATAACGAGCCAGCGAAGTCTAACCAACACTCTTAAAAAGAAAATTTAAGAAAATAAAAAAAGAATTTACATGCACTTTTTGGTGAAATCTGGAACTAAATTCATTCAAAACACTTACCTGTACCTCTACCTTTATGTACCTTACGTGAACTCTTTGACAGAAATACAGTGCAGACAACAAAACCATCCATAATGAATACAACAGAATTTCATTCGAAATAAGTGGGAAAACTGCAAACTTTATTTTAAATACAGAAGATTAACAATGAAATAAAAAAAATCCTTATGCTATAAGTGAATTACACAGAAATAAATATGTAAAATACAAAAGCTTGAGCAAAAGTATAATAATAAACAATAAATAAAATTAAAATAATAAAATTCCAAAATGACAAAAAAAACTTTTTAAATATACAAAAAAAGAAAAGTTTGAATTTCAGGAAAAAATAAAAATTCAAGTATGAGCTCGTTTTGATGACAAATTAGAAGAGCAATTATCTAGATTTCTCTTTTTTGCTCGAGAAATACACGTCGATTCTACGAAATTGATTAAATCAGTTTTGCTAATCGGATATCTTATGCTATTAAACACGGCCTTCGCAGTTTTCATCGAATTCGGTAAACTTTTATCAGTTCGTTCTCGCATAAATTGCCATTTGCCATTCTTGAAAAAAATAACGTATATTTCGAACTTCTAACATTAGATAACATAAGATTAAATATTAAGCAGACTAGCAATTAAAAAAGAATGATCCAGATAAAAAACTAAAGATTGAAAAAAACTAAAGATCAGAAGTTATACATGATGAAATCATTGATTTGAAAGAAGGATAAATTATTAGAAATTTACCACAAAATTGCATTCAACAATTTTGTTATCGTAAGGCAACAGTTTCTTCGTAGCCTTCAATTGAGCCACAGGCGTCGCTTCGTGTTGCACAAATAGTAAGCCTACATATTCAGGAAGTTCACCTACATTACATATTTTCCGAATTTGTAGTTTGAAATCGATTGAATTATGCGATGGAGGCTTCCACTTTAGAATTGTGTCAACCCGCCCAGGCCGGTACGCCTAAATTAAAAAGGATAAATATAAGCACGTATAGTCACACAAATTATAGCTTTTCGAAAATATATCCAATAAATGCGATAAGATCATGAAAATGTGAGTATTTCATAATATGTGGAATATTGCAGAAATCGGTTACTCAAATTAATGAGAGTGACATAAATATTTCATTAGTCATGCAGGCAAAGAAATAAAAATTTTATAATGCAAAAAAATGCATTGTTACGCCTTAAGAAAATCGTAATCGTTGAAGTGGAAGATTGGAATTTATATCGCTAAACGGTATGCGCTGTAATGGATGGCGCCAAAAGCGAGAAGAATTAATTAATTAAAACCTGGACAGATATGGAATGAGATTCCGAACTGAATTCATAGGTGGCCTAACCACATATGGACTTAGACGGTGGAAAAAGAATTGGCCTTAGTTAATTTTAAGCATTTCATCTGATTGGGAAGACTGGAGACGTTACAGCATATCATCCTATGCACCACTAAAGCCAGCCAAACCAGGAATGGTGGGTGGTAGGTGTGGAATTTAAATAATATTTAGCAAAAACAATATTAAAAAAATGATTAAGTACTAACTTCATGCACAGGCTGAAATATAAGCCCATCGATTTCATGGCCAACATTCTTTGTGAATTTATCACTAAAAAATTTTGGCACGGCTTCCAATTCCCAGAAATCCTTCAAACCAGTTACGATGAAAAAAGGTAAATGATTAAAGATAACGAATGATCAACAGCAGTGACCTAATCATTCACCACTCAACTATACTGATACTTTGATATAAGTACTTACTTGAACTGATTGAATGCCGCATGAAAAAATAAGTACCTTTACGCGAACACTTATTGGCTCATTTTCTCTTCTAATTATTCCACGTTGCATGGCCTCTTTTCGAGGTCCAATTATTTCTCGACGAATACAAAACAACCTCGTTTTGAAATCGCATGCACCAACATTATTTTCCTGGAATATGATATGAAAATGTCTATTTCTAGCCGGAAAGTTTGCATTAATTGGCATCCATAAGTTCCAAGAATCCATCCAAGTGCTCCCAGTTATGAGAGCCAATCTTATATATAAATAAAATGCCATAATATCCTATAATTTGTTAAATATAACAAATTATTATTTCAAAGACCTCGAATTTTACAATATCATACACCAAAAGGCGCGGTACAGTTTGTTGCATTCCAGAATCATCGACGACCTGAATTAAAAATGCAGTATAAGTTAACATGTAATAATTTAATATTTCAACGGCACAAACCAGTATTCCTTTCGGAAAAATAATTATTAATTTAAAAATAATTTGTTAAAATCAGTACTTGAAAGTAGTAAGTTAAATCTTCAAACAATTAATCAGTGTTAATGTTTAAAATTCGGGCAGAAATGTGTTTCACACCACAATAAGTGCTCTTACTCTGATAAATTAAAGCTTACTTTGTCAATAATCATTTCGCAGTCAAGTAATGTATGTCGGATATGCCTTTTTTCTTTTCGATGAGGGAAATATAAAAATGGAATTCGAAAAACATTGTTATCACGATCGAATGCAAAAACTGAATCTTCGTCATCAATAAGCACCATATATCTGCAATTTAAAACATTCGAATATCCATTTATGGATTTACGAAAAAAATGGCTAATAAGATAACACCTTGTGCCATCGGCCTTCCAAGAAACCATATAATCATTTTCAGCAAGCAGATGCAAGTTATTATTTTCAGGAGATCGTTCCATAGAAACTGGCTGACTACCAGGAAACCCGTCTCGTGTTGACCCACACATCTGAGCTATCTGAAGTTATATGAAAACAAGCATAAACTGCTAATTAGTTTATGCAAAATATTCTTAGTCGCTTTTTATTCATTATCAAATCAAATGACTTATTTTATAGCAAAGTAGCACTGTTTTATCAAACATAAAATAAATTTCCTTAGGAAAACAAACTGCAAAAAAAGACCTTGCTTTGAAGAATTCCTCTCATCATCGAATCAGCAACATAAGTAACACGTGGAACAGCACCACTCATGAAAAGCGGTTGACCTTTAAATTCAAAAAATCTAAATTTCAGTAACCACTTATTTATGAAGTTTACAGTGATCCTACTGATATTCCAAAAAGTCTTCAAGGTGAAACTCTTGAATAAAAAAATTAGTATTAAAATCAACATATGAATTAAAAATACAAAACAAAATTTAAAGAGGTAAATTTTTTCTCATCAATTCTTTAAAATTACCAGAGCTCGTTGGCGGTTCATTATCAGGGAATGGAAAAGACTCCACATTGCTTTCATCAGCGGAACCACTTTCCCATCCTGGCCGTGCTGGAGCCTGCAAAATCTCACGTGAAAACACAAGAATAATTTCTTCTTTCCTAATAAGCCAATGTTGGGGATAAAATGGCTTAGTGCGTTGCTGCTCAATTTGGAGTTCCGAGTGCGTTGCTGCTCAATTTGGAGTTCCGATACTAAGATTCTGTTCCCCTCAGAAGTAAACCTGTCCAGCAATCCAGGTGATGCTGGCAACTCATTTGTATTTTTATCGCCAAGGGACTCTCTGGCACATTTGTCCAATGCGATACGCCAGCAGAGCGAGTTTAAACAGTTGAAAAATAAGCCAGTATTAACCATTATTTTATCCTCTTCATCGCCATATCGTCTAAACAATTCATCGATATAATCTTGTTTGTATATACCATTGTGTCTATGCTTTGCAAAAGTATGAACAGCAGCATCTACAGCCCAGTCAAGACATGTGGCAAGATATGCGGTTATAAGAAATCCTGTACGATTGAAACCGTGCGTACAGTGCACTCCGACAACATCTTTCGGATTTCGCTAAAGAACAAAAAAGAATAAGGTGCTTTTCGAGCCTATTTGTAAATGGTTTTGAATATTGCGAAAAGAGAAAGCGATTTAAAAATATAACATTTCTGAAAACATGAATGGTGAATTTCAAGCCAAATCTTTCGTAAAAAAGAAACCAGCAAGAAATCCTGAACAAGATTACAAAAAAACTCTGTCTGCGCCTCGCTTGGCACCTCTTTGTGACCTTTCATGGCCATTTTAATATAAACACATCCTCTACTCTCAACCTGAAATTATGAAATTTCAAACAAGAGTTATAAATTCTAAACTGAATACGAAGAGAAAAAATTGGAGAAAAGAAAGACAAACTCTGTTGGACAGGAAAAGTTTAAATAAAAAAAAATTTTTTCAATCTGCTTGAAAAAATGTTTGAAAAAGTGATGAGAAAAACTGCGCGAAAAAAACTGCAGATGAGAGTGAGATTCCATATTTCAAAATTATAAAATCACGTTATTAAATCAAAAATTTCAAAGGAAAAATGTCTGACCTCCTTTTTGCTGTAATAACGATTTGTTTTGGTTAAATCGATCCAGAGACCAATTTTGGCACCAGGATCGGCGCCTTTAAGAGGATTTGCGAATATATCCTTCGGATGAAACAAATACCGTTCACCTTCGATATATTCATCATAAAGTTTGCAAAGAGGTGTCTTAAACGGAAGAAAATGTTTCGCAATCACCTAAAAATGAAGCAATTTAAATTTTTTAATTAAGAAATATTTAAGAGAAGATATCCGTCTTTCCGAAAGCTTCGCAAATTTATCAATAATTTCGTATAATTATCTACAATTTATCTTAAATTATATAGATATTGAATCTTATTCAAACCATTAATTAACAAACAATATTTTAGCAAAGAAAATGGCATATTATTTCAGGTTTGAAGAGAAAAAAATAGAAGATAAATTTGTAAAAGACTTATATATATATATTTATACCGATCCAACAGCAGGGCAATATATCCAACGGTCAGGAGGGCCTAGTCGAGCTTTTTCAGCATTTGGTCCATCTGGATCTGGATAAAACGAATCTTCATCGATTTCAGCCATAGCTTCAAGTCAGACTACTTAGCGAGTAATAGTAATAGATAAAGAAATATACAGATTATAACAATGCCATTGCGCACAACTTTCAGAGTACATGGCTAAAAATTCACTACAGGGACCGACAGTACAACTCCAATAGCCTCCGACGATAGAATGACGCTATTAGAAGCCCCGCAGATGCAAAATGTGCTTGCTATATGTGCCTACAAACCGACCCCCGAGCATATTTTATATTAAGAGAATAACAAAAATTTCTTTTTTATATTTATTATAGTTCAAGCTTGGGGGGAGGGGTGGAGAGCGATGGCCTTAAAAGACTCATTTTAACCGAACGAATCATGAAAAATATTTAAAATAAGATAAACGTTTAAAAAAGATTAAAGGACTAGAAAAAAATTATCAACTCTCAGTTCTTCAACGTTCGATCCCTCTAAAAGTCAAAGGACTCTCAACAAATTGCCTCCCCATCCTCCACTACTCCTCCCCTACGGAGTAACATTTTAACACTCATTTTTCCAGAGATCCTTAAATTTCCAAGGAAATTCAATTTCTATGAATTTTGGAACATAGAACCAAATTCAACTGAAAAAGACAAACTTCGTGCCATCTAAAGTTCGTCCCTATTCATGTTCATCAAAGATTTTCTCTTAGAATTTGGTTGGAAAACTGTGGTAGCAGATGAGTAAACTATGAAGAATCCAATGTGTTCATCCATAAAAAAAAAGGATTCGGGGTACCATTTAAATATGTAGAAAGACGCTTCAACTGACGATTGAGACAATTGGTTCATAAAGCATCCATTATTCAATAAATCTATTCTCAGGCATGCTGTAGAATTGGGTCCATCGCTGATGCCACCATTTCTTAGTTTTCTTAGTCCTTTTCATCTGTTGCTTTTAACTGATAATCATCACTATATGAGACATATTAAGAAAACCCATTATATTATGGTGTAGTGGAGTTGGAATGGTTCAGTGGATAGTAGTATATATAGACTTGGAACGCAGATGCTGAGTTTCAACACTCGCTAAAAATAAACCTGTCATTTAAAAATTCGGGTGATGCTGGCTATTCACTTCTGTTTCAGTCGCTAAGTGGTAAAATTTGCCTAACCCAATAAGCCAATTAGGTCGAGTTGAGCTAAAAAAAATTTTTTTTTAAAGAATTCTCACCATTAATTGGTTAAACTCTCTCCACTGGCTTAGTTACAAATATGCTAGGGAATCGCTTAGCGATAGAAATACAAAGTGAGTCGCCAGCATCACTCGAATTTTTTTACAGATTTACTCTTGCGAACATTGCCTAAAATTAATGAACAGTACAACAAAATTTGCGCAATATATTTTAGAATAAAAATAAATTTGTAAAATTATTTTAAACAATCGATTATTTAGTTCATTCGTAAATGTTAATTGAGGTAGAGCGAGAGGATTAGAACTAGAAATCACTGAGTTCGCGCTGTGGTATTAAGCTTAAAACTAGAGTTGTTAAACTAGAGTAGTATTCTCGTATTCATAGCTAAACAAATAGCACTTTCTCTATATTTCTCCATAATTTCAACAAATTTGTTATAAGTAAGTCAATTTTTTTTTTTTTGAAATAAAATATTTAAATTCTTTATTAAATTTTAGGCAAATAACAAATTTTTCGTATTTTTTTCTTTAGTTTATTGTCGTCAACTTGGCATTTCTTGGCCTCATAAATATACATTTTCTTTCTTATCACTTTTATTTTGCTGTTTTTTTTTTAATTTTTTTATTGACTTATTTTTTTTATAAAAAAAAATTATTTAAAATCTATTATATTATAATCGAATTTCTCTTTAAATAACAATTATCTGAATTTTAAATAATTAAAATTAAAATTAAAATTAATTAAATAATTTCAAATATTTTACAAACGAAAATTTCTTTGTAATTATTTCGCTTAAAATATTTAAGTATTTAAATTCCTTTCTTCAAGCTAACCACAAAATACTTCAATTAATTGATGAAAAAATTTTTAAATTTTATGATTTCTAAAGGTTCGTATGTGTTTTTGATGAATTTTTTCCTATCATTGGAGTTCTACATAGATGATCTGACAGTTTCGCGCCGATGGAAAACTCTTCTGTGCAACTAAATGGAGCGATTTTATACGGCATAAACTGTCGTGGAAGAACGGAATGCTTGCGGCTGATGTTTGTATTGAGTGGACGGAAATTCGTTGATCGACGAATAACGTTAGTGGAATGGAAAGAAATAAAGATAAAAGGTGTAAAATTCTCTATAAATTAGATATTAGGAATTAAATTAAGAAACTTTGCAGAGGGAATGAAATGCTGAGGTATATGAAATAGAATAAAAAGAGGAGAATGATTAAACCAATGAAAGAACGTATCATTTTTTTTTTTTTAAAGAGTCCTCACCATTTACTGGTTAAAGTCACTCCACTGGCTTTTATTAGGCAATATGCCAGGAAGTCCCCTGGCGATAGAAATACGGATGAGTCGCCAGCATCACCATGATTTTTGTAGTACAGATTTGCTCCTGCGGGGAATCGAACCTCATATCGGCGCTCCCAATTGAATAATAACCCACTGAGCCATATCTTTAATGAAAGAGCATATATAAGAGTGCCTTTCCATCATCTCATTAGTATAAGTCAAATTAACCTAAAAGTGGTATTTCTCGTTTATCGTAATGCAGAAATGAAATCATCGGTTCACATCGGTTCACATGCGTAGAAACTTGGAAAAAATACAAATAGGTGATAAATCTTGCTTGATGAAATTTTTTTGCAGAGAATTTTCCATCAAATGCTATGTTACCTGTTTTAAAATTGGCCATGGAAAGTCAGCCAATTATTGGTGCCATCGAAATTGGACGATACCTTGCAACAAATCTAGGTAATTTCGCTAAACTACTATAACGCTGACTTTTTTTCACTATTTTCTTCCTTCCTTGTACTAAAATGAGAAAAAACCTGGAGAATTTGTTTAGAAACAAAATAACCATAACTCATATATTATAATAAATATTGATACCAATTAAAATCTTAAATAGCGATTTTTTTTTAATAATTGTTGTATAGGTATTTCACAAAGCACTATAAATCAGAAGCCATGGTGAATTTGTAGTTATTTTCAGGATTTTACGGTAGCTCTCAGGATGAAAAATTAGAAATCGACCAAATAATCGACGACCTAGAAAAACTTCACGTAGCAGTTGCACCTGTGATTCGCACAACGCTTACAAAGAATTTCGACAAACGGGTTTATTTATTTTCATTTTTAACCCTTTAATTTAAAAAAAAATGATTGTCTAATTCTATAATTTTTTATGCTTTTGATTTCAAAATTTTAGAGGGAATATTGGCAGATATTTAAAGAAAATTATTTGACTGATTATTTGAAAAAATTTGAGGCAAAGCTCGGCCAGCGCATCTTTTTCGTTGGGAATAAAGTATGTATATATGCTTTTGAAAAATTTTTACGCTAAGCCAAACATTTATTCTCACCAGTTTCGAGTTCAATTTCGTGACACTCTTATATTTCGATAACTGAAAAATATTCATAAGTCTACAAGTCATTTGCAAATTATTTTAAGATTTCTAGTAGAAATCCTTGAAAATTAAGTAATTCTTCAAATAAACCTTGAAAAAAAAAATCAACATTAATCATTTATTTTTCATTATAGATTTCTTGGGCAGATATGGCAGTTGCTGATGTTCTTTCGGCTTTTACGACTTGTTTCGATACTTTCTTACTCAATTCTTATCCAACATTAAAAGCTCATGCATTACGAATTGAAGGTCTGCCAAATATTCGAACTTATGTCGCTCAAAGGCCGCATACATCGTTTTAAAATTGCTTGACAAGATGTATAAACATTTCAAAAGTCTTCTAAAATTCTTTTTGCAATTCTACTGGTCAAATTGACGAGATGCTATTGTGTAGACTGGTAGAAAATGTGATATAATTTTCAATTAGAAAATTATTGATGGTAGGGAAAGCGGTGATCTCACCCGACTTATGATAAGAAATTTCGATATGAAAGATCAAAAATAGTAAAAAAATTATCAGCTAAATAAAAAATTTAAGCAAGATTACGAGAAATGGATTCCAGGCAATCTATTTCATTATTAATATATGATGATGCTAGAAAATTTTATGGATAAAACTATGCCGCCTATTCCTTTATATTGTATTTAGCCATCCATGATTATGTTATTGGCATATATATGTTTCCTGGAATGCCTCCACACATCATAAGTTTCGTTTTGATCGTCAACGTGAATTTACATTCGCAATTTGCAGTTTTGCAATTTTTATTGTAAATGAAATGTAATCTTTATAATCGTTATAATCTTCTTTGTTAATTAAGCGGATTTGTTCATTTTTAAAATTTATTTTGTTGAAATTAAAGGAAATATATTGCAAAAAACTGTGATTTGTCACGGATACAAAACATTCATCTAATTTTCCAAATTTTATCGAATTTTTAAGAATAAATAACCTAAAACAATTCTTCGATTAATCTGGTATATTCGAATTTGAATCTTTTATTGTAATATAGTAATATTTATCAAATTCGATTCATTAAATAGTTTTACATCATTTTTCGAATTTTTATTGAAAATATTTTATGTAAATAATATAATTAACTTAAATAACGAAAACCAGTATATAGAATCACAATCCATGCACTGCTTTAAATAAATTTTATATTGCATGCATGGTACTAGTCTGTTAGGTGCCAATTTGGTGAAGTTTTCCTTTAGTTTCGCTAATGTAGTAGGCAAAGTTAAGTTATATTTTAACGCCACGTATAACTTTTATTATCTATCATCCATGGGGTGCTAGGATTGTTGAAATCATACTACTAGAAAAATCCGAGAAAAAAATAAAAATTTAACAAAGATGAGGACATAACAAATTCTGATGATTTTATTATTTATAACTGCAAAAAAAATCGAAAATATTTTCAGAATTTGTTTGCGATTTATTTTGAAAAATTGAAGGCAATGTGGTAAAAATTTTTAAAATAATATGAGGTAATAATTGTAATCATGAAGGTAAATTAAATCACTAAAATAACCGTTCCAAGCCATATGCATATTTATACCATTCGGTTAATCACAGTCTTCAACATTTATTTTCTCATCCGTATCATCATCGTATTCTTTAAGCGAAAAATCTGAGCCGTTGTTGGATTTCTCGCATGGAACGAATGCGGATGATGCGCAAATGCGTTTTGATTTCATAGAATAGTAATTGTCGAAAGAAACTGTTCGACTCTTGATCAGGCGCTGTTTTTGCCGAGAATTATGCTGTACTACATTTTGATCTGCTTGATGATTTATTGCTGTTAGTAGATGATGTTTTGAGTATAGAGTAGGTGTATCGGTTTGCGATGAGATGTGACATTGTTCCATTAGAGTATCTGTGGATTTTATCGCTGATACAGAAGCATTAATCATAGATTTCAAAACGCTTATCGGATTGGAAAGTGTTGAGGGTTGAGAGGAATTTTGTGGAAGTATCGCTGCAAACGGTGGGCAAATAATTGAAAGTGGAGAAATTTGCCCACCTGAATGAGCTGACATTGTCTTAGGCGAAATCTAAAAACTGCAATGATAAATAATAATAAATAGATAAATAAACTGAAGTATGAGTATCCAATTAAATTCAGAAAATAACGATATTCTGAGTTTTTTTTACAAATTTCAATTTTTTCTACATTTTTTGATCTCAAAAATAAGAAATCGAGCGGTGATGAATATAGAGGAAATAAATTTTATAGCTAAAATTGAAGACTTAAAACTCACTAAAAGAAATATTTATTCTCGTACTTATCTTTAATTCCTGTTTTTTAGTTCCTTTTTCACGAGTACTTAAAATATCAAAAAATTAGAAATTAATTAAGTTATAAAAATAATTACAAAGACAATTACCACTGCTTGTTCGGTGTTATTTTTGAGTGTTAGCAAAGCATTTGCTAAATCATAATTGACATATGAATGAGGTAGATTCGACACCTAAGAAATAATGTAATTAAAAATATAAACTTAAAAATATAAACTTAATTTGGGAAATTAAAATTGACTTCAGTTTTTCATTTTTTTTCTTAGTTATAATTTATGATACATAAAATTTTTAAATTTAGAAAATTTGCCTGTTCAGCGGTTGCTGCTCTTTCTGCCAGCAAAAGTGAATTAAGTCCATTATTGTTCATATAACTTCTGTCCACATTTCTTAATCCAACTGCGATATGATCTTGTGGAAATGCGACGGGTGTAATTAAATTTCTACCAACAGATTCCATATATCTTTGCGGTTCATTCGTATGAACAAGCAAATGCTTCTCTACAGCTGTTTTTTTCTTTGCATACCAATTGCAAAAGACACATTTGTAGCTTAGAAATCCTAAAAGTAATTACTAGTAGTGTAGAAGTTAAGTTAGTAACTATTGGTAACACTGATATAATTGAAATCACTTCTAAACTTTCAAACTTTAAACTTCTTCATCTAAAAAAAATTGCCTATACTGATATAGTGTTCGTCAAACTAGCCTAAGCGAATCTTTTAGGTTATATGGCGATTCTCCAGTAGTACGTGGGAATAATTTGAATTACATATTCTTATTTTATATGAGCTAATCATTTTTAATAATTACTTTATGTAGTTTCATTCAAAATTTTTGGAAGGAAAAATTTAATCAGATTTTAATGCGTTATGGAGGTCCATAGGTTTTTATGGTGTTATCTAAGAAAATCTGTGCAGAAAAAAATTTGCCAAGCACCGATCTAAAAGAAGAGTACGGTTCAATTATTCATCTATTTTACCTGCTGGCACCGCATGGCCTCGTTTATGAAGAATCATTTCACTTAATTCGCTTTCAAATGGACACATATCGCATGAAACTATTAATGCTGATTTGGCATTTGAATTTCTTCTTGTTTCACCCGACAAGCTTGATAGCATCAATGTATCTGATAAAGAAGGTTTTACTGTTAATGAACTATTATTATTATTGTTGTTATAAAACGTTCCATTGCTGCCCATGAATTTATACAAACACTGAAGTAATGCGAGATTATTTGATGAAGTATTCGTGATACTATCTGAAATATATTTTAATTTGCTTATAATATCAATATTTTTTATTAGTGATGGAAAGATCTTTGCAAAACGACCTCACATCGCTATTTATCACACAAATAATAATTTATTAAAATCGACGAAAGAATCGAGCAAAATTTTTTGAAATTTTTGCGTGAAATTAGTTCAAAGAGATGCATATCTCGCTATTTTCTAGGCGATTCGCTATGGTGAATGGTGAAAAAAGAGGTACCAATCAAAGCTTGGACTAGTGCAATGAGAAGAATTTTTGAGTATAGTGAGAATACAATGTAGATTATATACATATAGTAGATTATATACATATATGCAGTTTAGGTGATAGAAAAGAGGTGATTTCTGTTACTTTTAATTATTGTGTTGGAAAAATTTTGAACTTGGAAGTGCTTTATTTTTGTAGCCATCTAACCAATAATGGCGAGAAGTGCAAGCAAATTGTTCCCAACGTAGGCTTATTTGAACCAATTTTGACATAAAAAAGGAATTCATGGGAATTTCAGAAGCTAGGTTGAGAATTTCTCTTTTACTGAAAACAAGTTCACAATGAATCTATTAACATCTATCAGGAATGTATATTAAAATCAAACTTTTGCAAATGTAATTTTATACGAACAAACCTTCAAATATTGGTATGACATTGATTTTCAGCATAGATAGTGAACATCTCGAAGTATCTCTGCAACTGATTGAGTTCCCATTGTGTACAGTTGCAATATTAGCATATGCTTCGCTGTTACCTATGTAACGGCAATGTGCCATGGCTAAGTCAGCATCGTTAAATTTTTGATTGCATGATAAACATTCATAAGGCAGTTCGTTATGAACGTTTTGAAGATGACTTATCAGTGCAACAATTGATTCCTATAAATTTTTTTTTTGACTTGAAAATGAAAGTTCCACAGTTCACTAAAATTCAAACAACTCTCATCTATTCGGTTATAGAATAAAAGAAACAATTCCAAAAAAAGAAAAAATTTCCTAAAGAAAACCTGTTCAAATAAACAAATTATGCATCTGTAAAATAAGAGTTGATTTTTTGCCAGTGCATCAGTTTCTGTTGCGTTATTTGCTGATTTTGTTCGATACTGGTTCCCCTTTAAGAATTTTATACTAGTTTTCGCCTATAAATTTTTCCTTTTTTTTTCTACTTTTATAATAATTTTATAACTTTTATGCAAATAAAAATATCATTTTGTGATTATAAATGAGATAATTTTCGCGAAAAAGAAAATAAAAAATAAATCTTTTTAAATTTTAAAATAAATCTTTAAAAAATAAATCTTTTTAAATTTCAATTCTTCTTGAAATTAGGCAAAATATTTCTTTTTTTTTTAAATTTTTTAAAAAGTTTTATATTTGCATAAACTTTTTTTTTAAATGAGAAAAAAATATAGCGTTATAAATAAATGGAAATAGCAAATTAATTTATCTCTTATTCTACTATAATCGGCTTCAGTTCATTACAGTTTTGTGAGGAATTTTAAACTTTTTTTCGTTTCGTAAGTTTTTTAATTTCTTAAAAAAAGAAAAAAAATACTTCATTGCAACGATCTCGATTTTCGCCGCATTGTGACTTTGTTTCATGGCAATCTAAATTTTTATTGCCATGAACGAGCGATGAATCAAAAGTTTTGCTTCGGCTGTATTTTGATACGACTCGAATTCCATGTGTTTCTGGTAAAAAAAAAAAATTCATTAATTCTGGCTTTTATATTTTGGAATTTTAACGAAAACGGTTGGTTATAAATTTTATTTTCTGCAATATCATAACAAGTAAAAAATCTATTGTGAAAATTGAGCAGAATTGAGCTTAACAGGATTTTTCAGCGAACGATTTTTATTCATTTTGATGTTCGCCATTTCAAACGAGAAGCTCATTAAATAACTTAGCTCTAAAATGAATACTTACTGGCTACATGTCTGATAAGATCAGCTTTCCACTTGCTCGTACGCGAACAGTATTTGCATTTAAAAGGACGATCATTTGTATGAACACGTTTATGACGAATCATCTCAGAAACCCATTTTCCTTGGTAGCCACAAATCGAACAAGTTCTAGTGGATACATCCGGATCAGTTTCGGTTCGCTAAAATTATTTTACGATTTGATTTCTATTTCTAAAATTTTTTTCTACTATAACAACTATTAATAAGCTCTACTATTTTATGAATCCAATTTAAATTGTAATAATACGAGAATTGATAGATGGAAAATGCCCAAACCTATTTCTGGAACCAATATTTTGTCCCATAGTAAAACAAATTATCAAGCGAAGTGTCGTTTTTTTTCTCTCTTCTTTTTTATGTCATTTTTTATTATTCAGTTCTATTCGCTTATATTCTTCTTTGCTTGTGTCTCATTTACTGTCATTAACTGCACGACTTGGCTTTGTACCCTAATTGGATTAAATAAAATTTTTTCTAAAATTATTTAAAATTTTAATTTAATTTCTCAGCCGAAATCGTATTCTTTCCTTTCGGTTATGATTATACATGTTAAAAATTTTTTATTGTAGTTCAAGACTGAGATTGTCTATTTGCACAGCTCTTGCTCAAATCACTCTTAATAACGTACAATCATTTCCAGATATTCGGATGGAGCCTCAATAGCTTCCTTCTCAGTGAGATATCGTTTCATAATTGACTCATTGCCATTACCACCGCTATAAGCACGCTTTGCGACAAGTCCATCGAGAGTGTTTGCTGGATTCGCAACTTCTCCCTTTTTTCTTTTTTTGCCAATTTTCCGATTCACCTGCATTTATAATATGTTTTCTTTCAAGAATTTTCAGGAGAAAAAATTTTTCTATGAAATTTCATCTGTCATCGCAAATATATATATATATATATATATAATATATTTAAACCCAAATTTCACAAATTTTGTCTAATATTTTATTTTTTCTAAAAAATATTTGATTGCACTATAATCTATGATATACATTATACTTCTGAGAATGAACTTTTAACATTTTACTTATTAATGGCAATATCATTCCGAAAACATTGTTTGTTTCAAAAATTATGAAAAAAAATTAACTATACCACTATTTGCTTGAAACGAAGCAATCTTCCTCTCTATCAAAAGGCTTATTGATAAGGCGTATTGTGATAATTTTCCAGTGTTTCCGGGCAAATTCTTCTTCATTCTGCTCAATACAACTGTGGCAGTATATGGGCAATAGGGTCAGCCTTAAGCTATCTGGATTCAGTCCAAAGTGAAGTGTGCCAAATAATTACATTAAAAGGGGTGTTGGAACATCGCTTAAAATATCGGCAACCATCAACTGTGAATTCATAGATGAATTCACCGTTGTCTTCGATTCAGTTGATAGCAGAATGCTTTAAAGGATGATGGGGTAAGATGTGAGATTGTTCTAGAGAAGATAATCCGACTCATTAACAGCATAAGCCTGCTTGTATGGAGAATTGAGGCAGACTTTCATAATAAGAACCACTGTATGCCTGGTGAGATGCGTTCCTTCCACCAGAGCATTCAATTGTTCAATTGCTCTTTTTTATAAAAGCGCATAAGTGTTGCTTATACTCCACTAGCTTGTCGGGACCATGCAAATTTTGCAAGAGATTTACCTAGCGATAGAATAATGCAATAGATTGGACTATCGACACTGCTTGCAGACATTTAAGAAATTTTTAAGTTCAGAGCATAGTCTACAACTACAACTGATCATGTGAATATTAGCATAAATAAGATGCAAATGTTTTTATCTTTCATATTTCTTCCGTCTAGTGGAAACTCAGTGGAACCACTTTCAGAATGAAACTCCTCATTTATCTGACTACAATACTGATTGATATAACTATGAAAAATGAGAGTGGAAGATATCAAAAAACTATCTATTTTTTGAAAGCCCATGTTAAGTACGCTTTATATGACTGTCGAACGGGTAGAATCTCATATGGTTGCATCCACCTTCGTTTCGTTCAAATATCATCTACATTAACCATTCTCACAGAACGTTGTCTACCTTGGTCTACACTACAGTGATTGACTTATATGTCGCCAATTGTTAAACCCTGCGATGGATGGTTAAAAATGAAGAGAAACAATCAAAACCACAGTCAGATGAGATTTTAATATGACATCGGATCGAACTTGGAAACGCTCTATAGTTTCAGCCAGCGAGGCCAGCATAACCAATAGTGTTAAAAGCTGTTAGAAGATAAATAATCATTAAAAGCTTATTTAAAGAAAAGTATATAGTTAAAATGAATGTGGAGAACTGGTGAAAAAGACTATATGTAATTCACTTAATTATCAATTAATAAATCACTAAATAAGTATTTATAAACAATATTAACAACGGTTTAAAAGAAATATATACCAAAACTTGTGGTGAAAAAGTTTTCAACATTTCCTATCCTTCCTATTGCAACGATGTTTCCAGCACTATTTCAGCCTAAAAAAACAAACGAAAAAGTTGCGATGGAATTGACTTCGTTTAGCGTTCATTATTATTGGGACCAAAAAATTTGTATACTTTTAATGAATCGATAACATTTAAATGGTTGAAACAGTGCAAATATGATTTTTATAACCTTAATTGTATGGAAATTTACTGAATGTTAATGGCAACAACGGTCGTTTAATTTCATTTTTTCTAATAGGTTTTACATCCAAAAGAATTCGACTTTATATCTTATAGATGCAAAAAATTTAGTGCACTTGACATTTGGTTCGGACGGATCCTATTTTAGATCTCCTCTAACATGTAAATTGTTGATTTTTTATGCTAATAAATTTGAATAAAGAAATCGTGAGGAAAAAAAGAAAAAAGAAATACACATTGAAAAATTTGTGCCAAATTTGTGTTAAAAAAATGTATTATCATAAGATTTTCGAAAATTGCTGGCATGAAATTTTGATTATATAATAAATAAAGCAATAAAATTAGCTAATAATTAAAAAGATAGAAAAACATAGGTTAAAGTTGAAAAGATTAATTTAAATAACTTTAAGATCAATGATCTCTTTCAAATGCACAAGTTTTAATCAATGCTCCATTTAATTCCCTGGAATTTGATGGCTAATTTCATTCGTTTTTTGTAGGCCGATTCACCCAGGAAATTATCAATTTTTTGTATCAGACAAAGACATTGTAAAGACAACATATACAAGTTGATTACCATTATTTAATAAATTACTATTTCAAAAAGCTGATAATGAACTGATAATAATTAGAAGATATCTGAAGCCCAAAATTATGGGAAATGAAATGGAACACGAGATCGTGTCAACGTATTATATAATATTCAGGCTATATGGATCTAAAAAAGATCCTTTCATTACTTTAAGAGATTTTGATCAACAACCCATCGTTAATAAAATTCTAATAAAAAGTTTAAGGAATGCATAAGAAAAAATTTCGGGCTCGAAACCTAAGTAAATTATCGAAAGAAAAAATATGGGAATATGTCAACGTAGCATTCAGGACGAAAATAAAGTCAACTGAAGACGAGTAAGCAGAGTGACCAACGATAATTGTTTGTCCGCAAAAAACAAACATTGTCACCGAACACTCGATAAACTTCCGCATCGATAAGGCAGATCGCACGAGTGCCATACATTTATAAATCCTTTGGCACACCTATTTTAAAAATTTTGTCAATTTGAATACTCACTTTAAAATTTTCAGAAGAATCTTATTCAATCCTAAACAATTGATTTAAACATAATATTAGAAGATCAATTATTTTTAAATTATTTTTGATTTTATATCAAAAATAGAATTCTTAAGTTTTCACAAATAATTTAGGTATTTTTTGTAAAACGATGGATTTTTCCTTCTTTTAGCCATTTATTCAATTTCATTTATTAAGGCTTTATCCAGAAACTTTATCCAGAAACTTTAACTAAATTCTCGAGAGAGAGAGAGAGACAGAATTATTCCGTACCATGTGCTTCAAACATAATCAAACATTGGGAAAATTCAATACATGAATTTTAGATACATGAAAAAAGATCTATGAATTTTAATGGGCGACCCTTATCGCTTAAGATCTCTGCACTCTATTGAAACGTATTGAATCTGTCTTAAGACAGGCAATATTTTCTGAAGTGGTACACAAAGTTTGGCTCGATTGATATTAGTCATCTCTCTTGAAACTATTATTAAACGAATTTGTTCTCGACTGTCACAATTTGCAAACACTTCTTCCTAAGTAATGTTCCTTGTTAATATATTCTATTGAATAAAACGAATCTATAAACTAATCATGAAATTGTTATTGCGCAACATGAAGATTTTGGCCTTTATTGTCAAATCAACCCCTCTTTTTAGCCTCTTATACCTCATGTTGAATAGTATGACCCCGCATGTACATTATTGGATTTTTTTTCAATAAAATATAGAAAAATTGCATTATTATATTGTATACATTTTCTCAACAAATGCTATAGCCATTCGTGACAGTTACTAAAATCATTAATCAGACGCAGATGTTCAAACCAATATGTGTGACCAATTACTGCAGTGACTGTCTTTTTTGTCTTTTGTTTCATCTATGCTGAATAGTGAATAGTGAAAAATGGTAACTATGGATAGAAACTATGGTGAATTTCAATTTTTAGTACAGACCAAGGTTTTATTGGATTTCTCAATATGCTAATTTCCGCTCATTTATAAAAATTCATTGGTTCATTTTAACCCAACAGTGACAATCTATTATAATTATAATAATCGTAAAATAATCGAAAATCTTTATTGCATCTGAATATTGGTGATATTGAATTTTTCTGACTTAATATTTATGTTTAGTCCAACCATTTATTAATCTATCAGTACGAAGACTATCTCTTAAAAAGAAGAAAAATTTTAGTTCCAAAAATGCGGAAGTAATTTCTGCGAAAATTATTTAATTTTCATTTATTGGTTTATTTACATAAAGTCTTTCTTAACATTGGTGCGATTTTTTCGAGAACTATTGTTATTTTTTTTTTGCAAGAAATTCTTATATCTTAAAGCAAATTTATTTTAATTTAATTCAGCCATTAAAATCTTCCATTTTTCTAGAAATTAATATTTTAAATTTTTTTCTTAAAAATTCGTTTTTTTTGCAGTTTTTGTTATGAATATTAATCTCTTATTAAACATTAAACAAAATAAAACAAAGAAACTATAGTAATATTTAGTCTTGGAACCAACAGTAATAGAAATAAATGAATGATAAAGTTATCAACTTATCATCCGTATAGACCAAATTCGGCACCCAAAATGCGAAGTACCACTCAGTAGTCATTATTCTACGAAATTTGTTCAAATTTTTTTATAAAATAAACATTATCTTTTGCATCAAGAGCACGAATTTGATCTTTGGAAAATTTTTTTAATTTGTTTTAACAACACTCTTTGTAAGAGTTAAGATTTAAAAAATAAATAAAATTTCATAAGGTTTCCTATCGTGTTAAAAGGAATTGAAACTTATATTGAAAGCGAAGCATTAATTGCAAAAAATAATTTTAATCATAATCAAATCAAATTGCAAAGTAGAAAACAACCAAATAGATGTAAGAAGAATGCCATTTGCTTATAAAGTAAGAGTAAATTGGGCAAGTAAATATTGTAATCTTTCTAAGAGCACCCTCCATAGTTGAAATTATGCAACTTGTTCGATTTCGGACGGCGAGGCAAATTTTGCAATTGAAGTACAGCTGAATTGCCAGCATACACTTCTTCCTTGTTTTTGAAGGATATACTTCTGTCTGGATTAGAATCTCAGTATCGGAGCTCCAAAATGAGAGCAAAAATCCAATGAGTCACCCTATCCCCAAACACTATCAAAAAATTAATTAATTAATAAGAATAAATTAATAAATAATAAGAATAAGAAAATAATTCGAGGAATCAATTTCATAAATAGCTTTAAAATAATTGCATTCTGTTGCTTGGAGCCATATCAACATTTATAATTTTATTATAACTCTTTGAGTTATATCAACGTTCAAAATTATTCAAACTATTTACCACAAATTTTTTTTTTTCGTTCGACATTGTTTTGGAACCATTGGAACGAATGGGCTTTTATCACCAGAGGATTTTTGTGGATCCTCAAAAGCAACCTTATTTTATTTTTATTCTTAAATGCATGATTAATCCCCTCTTCAAAGAGAAAAAATTAAATGCGTGATGCTTGGCTTTAATCGAATGAATGCACCATTAGAATAATTTTTTCTGTAGTTAGGATTAATCGAATTTAGACGATACTATTTAAGGGAAACCAGGAAGAATTCCGAAAGAAAAAATTTGGCTAGTTTTAGGGAAAATTATTTTTTCTTTCAAACCCACGATTCTTA